GGACGTGCAGGAGATCTTCCGGCTGACGCCCCACGAGAAGCAGTGCATGATGTTCAGTGCCACTCTAAGCAAGGATATCCGGCCCGTCTGTAGGAAGTTCATGCAAGACGTAAGTAGGGGGGACCTGCCGCCCCCCACTCCCACTCCCCGGGGTAGTGGAGCACCTCTGCCCTCACACAAGAGGCTGAGAGGCTGGCCACAGCCTTCCTCCCTGCCCCCTAAACTGGATCACGCCTTCGATTCAGCCTTTGTTGATAGAGAAATGTTTATTGTGGCTGGGATACAGCAGGTGCTCTGGGAGGGATGGCCACAGAAGCATCCCCTCTGGAAGGTTCCTTAGGCAGGTGATAAGTAAGCCTGCTTACTCCCCCACAGCCCATAGAGGTGTTTGTGGACGATGAGACCAAGCTCACGCTTCACGGGCTGCAGCAGTACTACGTCAAGCTCAAAGACAGCGAGAAGAACCGCAAGCTCTTTGACCTCTTAGACGTGCTGGAGTTCAACCAGGTGATTTGGCCGAGGCGTGTCCCAGGGCTCCGGGGGCTCCCAGGGGCTGCGGGACCCTGGCCTTGACATGCTCCCCTTTGCAGGTGGTGATCTTCGTGAAGACGGTGCAGCGCTGCATGGCCCTAGCCCAGCTTCTTGTGGAACAGAACTTCCCAGCCATAGCCATCCACCGGGGCATGTCCCAGGAGGAGCGGTGAGGCCCGAGGACTGGAATGGTTGTGGAGTGGACCGTGTATGGAGTGGACCTTGTCTGGACTGGAGACCTGGCCCTAACCTCATGTGTTCTTCCGGCTCCCCAGTTTGTCCCGCTATCAGCAGTTCAAGGATTTCCGGAGACGTCTGCTGGTGGCCACCAACCTGTTTGGTCGAGGAATGGACATCGAGCGCGTCAACATCGTCTTCAACTATGACATGCCTGAAGACTCCGATACCTACCTCCATCGGGTGAGTGTGCCCCAGGGGCTCGCCCTCTTTACCCTTGCCCCAAGGGTGGAGGGACACGACCGACTGACTGATCCTCACTTCTGTGCCCTTGTAGGTAGCCCGTGCAGGTCGCTTTGGCACCAAAGGCCTGGCTATCACCTTTGTGTCTGACGAGAATGATGCCAAAACCCTCAATGAAGTTCAGAACCGGTTTGAGGTGAACGTGGCACAGCTTCCCGATGAGATCGACATTTCTACATACAGTAAGTGGGCTGCCTGGGGCCCGGGCTGGGACGCCTGGGCCACAGCTTCCTCCTCCTCAAGGTCCTCACACGCTTCCCTCCTTGTGTCTTGCAGTTGAACCGAGTCGACCAAGCTGAGTTGTCCACATCACCCTACCTGCTGTTTTCTGACCTCTCCTTTCTTCAGTTTGTAAATAAACTTATTACCACTGAGCAGCAATCACCCAGTTCCATCCGTGTGATCTTTAATTTTAAGTGCCAACAGTGAAAGTCTTACACAGGTAACATTACACAACATGCACGACTTGAAATAGTTAGCGTCCTCTGCCCTGGGCAGAGGGGCTTCCGTCTCTGTACCGTGAGTCTCAGGTGGCGAGGTGGGGCCTGGGCCCTGCCCTTTCCCACCCCCCAACATCAGTCTTAGCTTGCGAGGGAAGTTGTACCCCCAACCCCTGGCTCTTCTGATCTGTAGCAAAGATAGGTGAAAGACCACGTTGGGGGACAGATCCCGCAGTCCTGAGTCAGCGCATCTGTCCACGTGGGGTGCAGCCAGAAGTGGTTCCACCTGTTCCGGCTGATGTCCGAAAATTTGCTGCCAGTGCCCCCTCTTGCACACAGTGGCAGGAGTGGGAAGACAAGGAGAGCAGAGTGGTAGGAGAGGGGTCAGTCTTCAGCGTGTGCAAAAGCTGCTGGAGCCACGGAGCCTTTCCAGAACCTGCCTTCACATGCCGGATTCTGACTGCCTGAGGGTCTGAACGGGAGGAGGGGGAGTCAGCCCAGAGGCGGTTGGGGTGGCCCACCCCCCAACCCAGTCTAAGCATAGTCCTTACCCGGGTCTGGTTTTGGCTGGTGGATGTGAACTCTGAGTACTTACTCCTGGTGACCACACACAGCCACTTCCGGTACTCTGTCCTCACCTGAGGCCCAAGCAGAGGTTAGGGAGGGGAGGCCCAGCTGGGGGTGGGGGTCCACTCAGCCTCCCCCACCCGGCCTGTTCCATGGGGTGAGAGACCACACCTTCTTGTTGAGCAGACAGTGAAGCACGAAGAGGAATAAGCCCTGCAGGCAGTTGAGGATGGTGAAGATGTAGGACAGGACCTGGTTACTGGGATCGAACAGGAACAGACCGAAGACCCAGGTGCTGCCCAGGACAAAGAGCTGGGCCACTGCGCTGATTGTCAGTATCCTGGGGTCGGGGGTGGCAGGAGAGCAGGGCTGGTCAGCTTCAGTGGGGTGAGACATGGCTGTCTGCCCCCGGCTCACCCCAGCCCCGCCCCTCTTCTCACCTTGCCTTCCTTAACTTCTTTAAGTCTGGGTTGATCTCCCCAAACTTCTGAGTGAGCTTCCAGACAGTTACCACGAAGATGACGGAATTGCACTGCACAGGAGCACAGAACTGGGATTAGGGGGCACCCCGAACTCAGTGGGCCAGGGCCACCGGGCAGGGCGTCCAGTGACAGGATAGCTCACTTGGGTTTGGATCGGTAGGTGGGTCCTGGTGGCATAGTGGTTAAAGTGCTAAGGAACCCATTGGCCACATTACTGAAGATGTTTGCTTTTTTAAAAAAAAATTTAAAGATTTTTAAATTTCATTTTGTTATATTTTTGTGTGTGTACTGTCAAATTAGATCTGACTGGTACAGGAAGAGATCGAACCACACACTTCTGGGATTTCAGTGCAGTTTTTTGCCACTAGGCCACCAGAGTTCCCTAAAGATGTTTGCTTTTAATAAAGATTTGCAGCTGAAAGTTTGGCTCTAGGTTTCTCATTTCCCACAGACTCAGAACAACTGACCGTCTCCTGGGTTCGGAAGCTTAAACCACACGGGTCAAGCCTGCCCCTTGTTCTCCCCTGGCCAGGGGTGCAGCCTGTGGCTAAGCCCCCCAACTCCCTGTGGACTAGGCCCTCAGTGCTCTATCCTGTGGGAGCTATAAACCGGGATGCACCTTAGTTTGTGCATAGTGAGTTTGTGGGTGGTTTTAAAGTTGATTGATCGGGAGAGCAGTTACCAAAATGACTACAGCCACTGGTCCCAGGAAGCTCCAGAGGAAGTAACGTTCTTGGTCCAGCCAGCAGCTGTGCAACAGGAGAGGGATGTCATCAGGAACCCTGCACCCTCAGCCCTTGGTGGGTGTGTGAGGGGGTCACCTGTAAGTGTAGCATCGCCCATGTCCCCAGCCTATCACACTTACTATCCGGGGCGGCCGTAGCCCTGGCTGTTGACAGCCGCTGAGATGCCCACGATGACGCCAGGCACGCCGTAGCCGATGAGGCACAGCCAGGGTGTGCTCAGGCCCTGGCCCTGGAACACGCGCACCACCAGGTAGTACAGCTCCAGGCCCTGGAGGGCCATCCAGCAGAAGGCCGCCAGGAAGAAGTAGTGCAGCAGGCCGGCCACCAGGCGGCAGCGCAACCCCACCTGCGGGGCGGAGCGGGACGTCAGCGCGGGGCGGGGCCACGCAACACGTCACCCCGGGTAGCCCCGAGGATGGGCGTGGCCCGGCCGCGTGTGGGTGGGGCATGGTCGGGAGGGGCGGAAACGGCCCCCCACGCACCGCTGGATGCTACGCCCACTTGTGGGCGGGACCAAGATTGATGGTCTAAGCAAGGCCCGGAGCTACCCACGTCTTGAAAGTGAGCGTGCCTAAAAGTACGTGGGTTCAGATCTTGGGAAGGGACCAGCTTGCAGCCTCTGGGGCGGGTTTCTGCATTCTAATCCTGGGAACCAGCGAGTCCACGCCCTTCTGAGCATAACTACCCTTGAGCGCACAGGGCGGGGCCTCACCTCCTCACTGTCATTTTCGATGCCAGCCAGGAAGATAGCGGAACCCACAAAGAGGCAGATGCAGAGGTTCAGGTGCAGAGTGGTTCGAGAGCTCTGGATGGACCGCACTAGCAGAAAGGTGATGACACACAGGAGCAGACAGACCAGCGACAGTGACAGCCCCACCTTGGTGATCAAGGCCAGCAGCTTGGATTCCTGGGAATAAGATGAGGGGCAGTATTTCACAGGGGCCCTCAGGCCTTTAACCTCCCTTCAACCGGCCTGGCCCCACTTCGGGACCCTGATCAGACCACTGTCTTTCCTCTCCACACCACCCCTTTTACTAGCCATCAACATCTAAATAAGCCCTTCCCTCTGTGTCTCATTAGAAATAAACCCTGAGATGTCCCAGTCTGCTGCTGCCTACTGTCCACCTGACAGCCACATTCCCACATCCCTCTTCTGATTCTGGGGCAAGTCCACTTCTCTGCCCTCCTCCACCTGGCTATGCCTACCACGCAGTCACCCATAGCTTCCGCACCTCTACACTTGTGCGGGTTGGAGGTGGTTGGAATGAGCCACTGGGGCCAGGGCACTGAGAACCAGGGAGCCCCCACCACGCTGAGAAAGCCTTCCCACCCAGGTTGCTCACCTCCCCACTGTGCTGGGTCATGAGGATGGCAAAGCTGCTCAGGTGGTTGCACTGACAGGTGGTGCTGCCATTCCCGCTGCCCAGTGTCCAGCAGCCGGTGGTGGCCCAGTGCCCACCTAGGTCGCTGTCACCCTTCCAGAAGGCACAGATCAGCTTCTGCCCTCGTTTGAGTTTTTCCGGCTGTGGGCAGATGGGGCAGTCAGAGAGGCTAGCTAGAGTCCACTCTTAGGTCCTGAACTCAAGGCCTGGGCTGTTTCTCATTAGCAAGTGTTTGCTGAGTACCTAACACTGGCTAAGGAGCCCTGGCCATGTTGTAAAGTCATGGTTTTAGTTAATCAAAAGAGGTTTCAAGCGTCGCTAACCAAAGGGTCAGTGGTTCACACACAGCTTCTGTGCAAGAGAAGGAGGGCAGTTAGTTTTCTTAAACAACCACAGCTTTGGAAACCTGTGGGGGCGCTTCTACTCTGACTACAGGGTCACTATATGGAGCTCTGGTGGCCTAGTGGTAAGAATCTGCCTTGCCATCTCAAAGGCACGTGATTTGAGTTCAGCAGCTGCTCCCCAGGCAGACGGGCAATCTCCAGGAGATTTTACTGACTCTTGAAAACTCGCTGGAGGGCCAGCTGCGGGTCAGTCTGACTTGAAGGCACACGACAACAATAACGGGTTGCTATGAGTCAGAAGCCACTTGAAGGCAGAGGAGTGTGGGTTTTTTGTTGTTGTTGTTTTACTGCCTGCAAGGCCTCAAGGGCACATCCCTGCGCAGAGCAGAGAAAAATCTCTACCCTTTAGAGGCTGACTTGTGGGAGGGGGGCTGGCGATAAGGTGTCTGGTTTTCTGGTAAGGAAGGCAAACGTGTGTGCTCTGCAGAGATGCTTTGAAAACGTGCGACAGCCTGGGGAGGTGGGGCTGTGTGTGTGAGTGGAGGCTTCGCCTTAAATAGGAAGGTCAGGGAAGTCCTCAGTCAGAGGTGGCATTTGAAGAGGGACTGGAAAAAAAGGCGGGAGGCCAGAGGCCAGAAGGGGAAGAGTGTCCCAAGCGGCTGGAATAGCAGAGGCAAAGACCCAGAGGTCTGTGTGAGGAAGGAACAGAGCAAAAGGAAGCGGCGAGATGCAGGCTGAGGGGTCCTGTGACTGCACTGTGGCGTGAGCAGGAGAGTGGAGCCATTCCACTCGGGCCTGAGGACTCACGGGGTAGGCGAAGGAGAAAGTGACGTTGGACTCAAGTTTCTCCGTGTTCTTGTTGCTCAGGAACACGGAATTGATGGCCGAGAGGACTGTGAGGCGGGACCCATCCACACGCAGCTTAGGGGTCTCCTCCAGCTGAGCCGTGTCCGGAGGCTCCAGGTCCAAGGAGGCGCCGTCCAGCAGCTGCTGCATTTTCTGGCTAGAAAGCAGGCCCACCACGGTGGGGCCTGGGGGACAGACAGACTCACTGGCCCCTGCTGCTCCCTCCCGCCTCCCACCTTTTCCTCTCCCTCCTATGCACTGAATTCAGGTGCTGCAAATCCCACTCAGATGCCTGGAGGCCCACCCGGGGGTATAGTGCCCAAAATGTGCCCTCGCCCCAGACGCCACCTTCTTTCCCAAATCTCCCCCATCGCGACCCCTGCCATTACCTGAGTCCTCCCCGACTTGAGCCGCCACCGCCCAGCTGAGCCGCATGCGTGCGTGGCTCTGGCCCACAGTGACATCTGCGTCTACGTTTTTCTTCTCTTGGATCATCAAGGACAGCTCTGAGGGGAGAGGTTCTGTGACTGGGGTGCTGGGGGTCGCAAGGGACGTGGGGCTGAGTTGGGGCACGACGAGGCTTCACCTGTGTTCCCAGGAGAGCGGTAGGTGAAGCTAGTTCCGGGCATGGCCTGGGCCAGGGTTCTCAGGGCTCCTTCGAGGTCCATGAGCATCTGGGTGGCGATGCGATGCCGGGTTGGCAGATCCAGGGCACTCAGGTCCCTGAGGTCCCCCAGCAGCTCATCCAAGAATGTAATGAGTTTCTAGGGGGAATGGGAAGTAGAGCTACTGGGTCACTGCACCGCAGGCAGCCGGGCAGTGTCCCATGGAGACAGCCTCGGAAGCCCAGTAGAGGGCCGCGTGAGTCGGTATCAGCTTGACAGCACTGGGTTTGACTTTGGAGAATGTGCTAGAACTGTTTACATGGTGAAATGGTCATATTCAGGATGTCAGTGTCATTAGGGAGCCGTCAAGTCTAGAATGACTCACAGCGACCCTCTGAGCGGTCATCCTGAAACTTGCCCTCTCCTGTGACATCCTCATCTCTGACACACGAGAGCCCACGGCTGAAGTTACAGCGTCAGTGCATCCCCTTTGGGACCCTCCACCTTCTTTGCTGACCCTCTCTCTGTCTTTTCAGGCATGATTTCCCTTTTCCAAAGAATAGTCTAGCTTCATATCCAAAGTAAGAAAGAGGAAGCTTTGCCATCTTTACCTCCAAGAAGCACTCTCGCCGCACCCTTTATTTTTACTTTGTGAAATGTGGCTACAGGCAAGAATTTGCGTGAGTGGCTCACAGTCTATTTCTGTTGGACATTTCTGGCTCAGAATGTACAGTCATCCCTTGCTCACTGACATGCAATTGGTTCTGATTCACAGGGTCCCTCCGTCAGGTTCGAAGGCTGTAAGTCCTAGTGGGGGAAAGGGCCTATCTTTCTTCCTCAGAGCTATTTGTGCATTTGAGATACTTGGCCTTTTGCTGACAAATGTAATCCTCGACAGACTACGCCCCCAGCGCTTGTTCCTACGGCCGTACGCATGTATAAGGCTTGTTGTGTGCCAAGCACTGTTCTTCTGTCCCATTGGTTCATTTAAACCTTCACACCTACTCAGTGAAGCTGGCACCAGACTCATGCCCATGTTACAGATGAGGAAACTGAGGCCCAAAGAGGAGGAGTCACAGAACAGGAAGTGACAGCAACCAGATTAGAATTCTTGTGACCTGACTCCAAAGGCAGCATTTTTTAATTATTATTATTTTGTGTGTATACTTCAAATCGGCTCTGACTGGTACAGGAGGAGACTGTCCCTCCTCCAGCAGAGCATCTGGTGGATTTGAACTGCTCACCTCTGGAACTGCAGTGCAGCTTCTTGTCACTAGGCCACCAGAGCTCGACCAAAGGCAACGTTTTTAACTCCTCTGTCGCCATGATTCTACTTTGTACTGAATGTGTGAGCGTGCATAATGGGGACGTGTGTGATGTGTGTGCTGTTACTATGTGGCCATCAAGTTGCAATCAATTCACAGCTGACCCTCCACCAGCCAGTTTTCAGAGGCTGTAAATCACACGGGAGGAGACTGCCCATCCTTCTCCCACGGAGCAGCTGATGTATGTGCTCTGCATGTTGTGCTTTGCTCATTCAAACACTGAGCTTCTCTGGAGATATGAATCCACCAGCAGCTTCAAGGGAGAAAGATGAGTAGCAATTTCCTCTCATTACGATTTAAAGCATCAGAAACTCATTGGAGGTTCAATTATCCGTGGGTTCCAGCTGAATGGCGAGGAGACACACATAAGTGCATCTCCATTTGGTCTGAGGGCTGTCTCCACCACACTCCAGCATGCCCGGCTCCCTCTAGCCATCCCAGTGTGCCCCCCCGCCACGTCCCCCAACTCCCGTCCTTACTTGGATGGTGTCTTTGGCCAAGTTTGGCTTGTAGTTTTCCCTCAGAGCTGTAACTTTCTCAAAGAAGTGGGTGAGACTCTGGGGAGAGGAAGATGAAGGGGTCAGAGAGCGCAGGGGAAGGGGTGGTAGACAGGTACTGCGTGGAGGGCTTTCCTACATCCTGCTGCCGGCTTGGGCCACTTACCTGGCTGACAACTCCCAAAGGCCAGGTCCACTTGTCCAGCTGCCTCTCTGTGGGGACACACATGATTCACTGGGTGGAAACGCACGTGTGTGTGTGTGTGTGTGTGTGTGTAGGATGTTGGGGGTAAGGTTTGTTAGGAGCCTTCACACTCAGTGGTCATTTGGTTATTTTGAAACCCAGTTTTGTAGGCAAAGCTTTATGGCTGTGCACTAGTGTGTCCTCCATGTGTCACGTATGCTGCCCTGATCTGCACTTGTCACGTCTAGGACAAAGAAGTGGGTCCAGCCCTGTCCAGGTCTATGTAGGTCCCCTCTCCGTGGCATGCCTCCACTCCCTGCTACCTCCTGTTCCTTCCTCCTCCTCCTCCTCCTTCCCCCCTGGACCCCAAGAGATGATACCACCCGGTGATAGCACAGCCCTGAGTGGATGCAGCAGGGACCACAGCATGTGGACAGGCCTGATGTGTGTACATGTGTGATAACCTGTGAGGCCCCAGGGGCCTCTCCCTTGATACCCAGCTCCTTCCCTGACCATTTGCCGAAGTTTCCCCATCTAGTCTCAAAGGGGCGAATGCCTAGCTGAGTGAGGCAGACCAGCACTCATTCTGATTGGTGGCTGCTCACCCTCCAATCTGTGATCTGATGTTTGGACTGAGGAACTCCACAAAGTGGGCTGTGAGCTTTGATACCTTCACAGACGGTGGTGTTTGGGCCATTGGGTGATCCAGGTTTCGGCTTCCAGCCACGTCTACAGCGGCATTCGTAGCTGCCCACAGTGTTGAGGCAGTGGGTGGTGCTGTGGCATGGTTTTTGCTCTAAGGAGCATTCATTCACATCTGCAGACAAAGCCAGAAGGTCAGGCCCTGCCCAGCCAAGCCCAGGCCTCCCCTCCCCTCCCAACTCCTTCCTCTTCTTAAAGTCTGGAGCCAAGGACCCCACCCTTATTCAAATTTGGCCACCTGGTGACTTTCAACCTCAACACCAAAGGACCCCTTTGCAGCCTCCACACAAGAGCAGAGGGGATGATGGTCCCCAGTTTAAGGGCAGTGAATTCAAAGCCTGGAGAGAAACTGAGTTACAGGAGCTGGATTTCCTGACCACGGATTCCTGCTCCCTCTCCAGCCCTGGCCAAGGTTGGTTTCCCTGCTCAGAACCAGAACTGGAAGTGGGATTCTCCTCTCTTCTATTTGGCTCGCATGTCCCAGTCTGGGCTCTTCCAGTGTGACAAGTCCCTGGACAAAGCTCGTGCAAGTGGTGCAGTGGGAATTCAGAGACTCTTCTCCTGCCTCCGTGGGCCGTGACCTTCCTCTAGCCACATGCTCTAGTCTTCTGGAATCTCTACCTGCACACACTTTCGGGTCCTGGGGTTTGAACTCGAAGCCGAGAGGGCACTGGCAGGTGTAGCTGCCGTTGGTGTTGATGCAGGCACCTCGGCTTTTGCAGAGTCTTGGGTTCTGCAGACACTCGTCCACGTCTGCAAGGGGAGGGAGAGGAAGGTGGCTGCCTGCTGGCGAGGGGGCCCTTCATTCTGGGTGGGGGATAGCGCTTCCTGGAGCCCTTTCTGCTTCGCTCAGAGGTGTCTATGGGCGAGGATAATGGGTGGCCCAAATGTGGTCAAAATGGCTGCGTCCTCCCCAGCTGCCAGTCTGGGCCCTTTCGCCCCACTGGGCTGCCACCAGTTGGGGCTGGGGGCCTCCTGGCCTCCGGTGTCCTGGCCTGAGGAGATGGAACAAGGCCTGGTGGGCCTTCCTGGGAAATGCTGTGTCCCCCAGCAGGAATGGTCCTGCCTGACTCCCGGGGGTGACCTCTCACTCCAGGGACCCTTGGCCTCATTCCGCAGGGCAGCTGCTCTCTGGCCGACTTCTGCTGGCACCACCGATGACCTTAGCAGGCCAGCACTCTTGTCCACACCAACTCAGACTCCAGCTCCCAGGAGACGACTGAGGCTTGACTGAGGCCAGGACGGTGTGGGCATCAGGCCAGGGAGGCAATCTGGACCTTTTGCTGATTCCCACAGAGGAACCCTGGGCACATGGCAGGAAGTGGGCAGGAGAGGACCGCTGTCAGAGTGGAGAATTCACCATCGCACCAGGCCTCCCTCTGTGGGGCTCAGAATCGTCTGAGTGCTCCGACCCCCAGACGTCTGGGCTGACACTTCCCACCTGCCTCTGGTTCACCCAGCCTTCCCAGGAGCAGGGGTCTGTTTCACACAGCCCACCCCCATTTTCCAGGCTGCTCTTCAGGCTCACCCCAAGACCACTGGGGAGGGTTGGGGGGTGGTGTGCAGGGGGAACAGGGTGCAGTTTGGTGTCTTCTGACAGGGGCTGAAGGCTGGCTCAGGACTCACGCTTGGCTCCATTTCTGTGAAATGGTGAATGTGGCAGGAGACAGAGTGCTCAGGGGTGAGGCCCTGGCCGGACACAGGTGGGGCCCCCTGAGCCTTCACCATGCTGGGTCTTCACCACATATTCTGCTGCTCCAAATTGGCCGGATCCATTCCTGGCCCCTTGTCTGAGGTCTGTGGCCTCCCCCTCTGCTTATCCGTGTCTCTGATGGAGCTGCTTCTCTGTTCCAGCTCAGATCTAACACGCCACCATCCCCTCCTCTGCCAGTGGGAACTGGAGCAGTGGCTGGGCAGACACATATGAAGCCCTCCATGACCACTCAGGCCGCTCACTGTCCCCGGCGCTCACCAGGGGCCCCACTGGGGGCTGAAAACCAGCTCAAACATGTCTGCGTTTGCCAGGACAAGAGGGCCCTTTTCCTGATGGATGCAAGTCCGGTCCTTTGGCCCAGCCACGTCGTGTGGGCAGCATCCATCCACTGTGCTCTCCGTGGACTGGCAGCCCTGGTCTTGCCTCCAACACCCCACCGCACCCAGCCCTCTCCCCTTTCCTGCCAGAAAGGCTCCCCCTGTCGACCTGTCCCCCTTACTGCCTGTTCACGGGGAGGAAAGAAGGGTCTGGAACCAGGGCCAAGGCACCTTTCTCTCAGCACAGCGTGGTCTGCTGCTCACTCCCCAGGGTCTGTTCTGAAACTCAGCTCATCTTCCGCCCCTCTCAGCCGCTTCCATGCCCTCCAGACTCTGGGTCAACCCTCTTCCTCTCTGGAGGAGGGGGCTTCCACACATGCCCACTCCTGTGCCCCACCTGCCTTGAGGAGGATGAATGCTCATAGCTCTTCCCCTACCCTCCCTGGAAAACGGTCACAGCCTGGTCACGCAGGAGAGGACAGCTCTTCCTGGGCGTGAGCCTTGGTTCCCCGCAAGACCTCCGACACAGCTCAACCAGCTGCCCCCGAAACTCTGTCAGCCAGGTGCCCTTACGTCCTTTAATGTGAGCCCACTCCTCTCCTGCAATGTTACTCCTGTCATTTCCCTTTGACAGATGATTAAACTGAGGCCCATGGGAGCAGAGCAATTTGTTCAAGGTCACACAGTTAACAAATGCAAAATGGCTTTTGTTTTTACCTCTACGGGATAGGCACTTTCTCCCTCTCACCCCCTTTGTCTTTTTAACAGATAATGTTGTCATATTTCCAACATAAGCCTGATTGTTGAGTCAGTATGTTGGCCAATGCCACATGCACGCAAACACAGAGCTCTCAGGCTGGACCCAGGTATCTGGCCTGGGGGCCTATGCCTGTGTCTCTTACCAACTACCTCTCTGAGTGGACAGGATGGGACGCTTGTCCCTTCTTAAACCCAAGTAGCATAAGTGCAGCCAGGGTGCTGTCCCCGGAAGCCGCAGTTACCCCTAACACCTAGAAGAGGGGGAGATGCAACTCAGAAGGGTCCTTACCTTGGCAGGTGTTCTCACTCTCACTGTTGAACATTCTTCCCCCAGTAGCGAGCTCATATCCTTGGCTGCAAAGGCAGGAGTAACTCCCTTCCAGATTATAACATTCGGCATTGACTCCACAGAACGTGGACTCGAGATAGAAACACTCGTTCTCATCTGGGATGCAACAGGGCAAAGAGTCACCTCTTACGACAGAGACCCCCACCCCTCAACTCCTCTGCACAGGGCCTGAAAAGCAATGTCTTTTGGGAAGAATAAGATTCAGGCTGCACTACTGTCACGGGGTTGCACCTTGAGCAAGCCATTCCTGAAGGTCACTTAATGATGGTGTTTTTCATTTGTGGTTTGCTTTTCTTCTTTTAAAACTTTTTTTAAAACTTAAAAATTTTTGAAACAAACAAACAACCAACCCCAAATACCCCCAACTTCTTATTTCTCAAATCTTTTCCCCGGTCTTGCTATCCCTGAAGTCAAGGGCTGAGGTGTCAACCATCTACGTCCCCCTCTGGCATGGATGATGCCCCACAATTTCCAGAACACCCCTGCCTCCAAGTCTCTGCACCTTCACAGGTCTCCCAGGTGTCGAAGAAATCGTTTATACTCTTAAATCCTTCTTTACAGCGACAGGTGGTGGCATTGACACACTCGGCATTCATGGGACAAATGGCACAGTCTTCTGTTGGGACAGAGACCGTGGTCAAAAGATGAGGGTTGAGCCAGCAGCTGGGTGGACAGGGAGGCCCCGAGCTTTGTCCTTTCCTGGATGAAGGGGTGTGGGATCTGGACCCCTCCCCAAGCTCAGGCTGTGGCCATGCTTTTCACAGACTCACTCCCGGACACATCCCCCTTACCATCGAAAGATCTGGTTCCCAACAGAGGCAGCAAGAGGCAAAGTCCTGGAACAGACGGGGAGGAGGCAAAGGGGGCTGAGTGAGTGACGCATTTGAGGGAAGGGGGCTGCTGACCTCCCTGAGACAGAGGCATGCCCTTGCTCAGGGAAGAGTCGGCCAAATCCTCCCTGGGCTCCAAGTGGGTTTTAGAATTGGGGGCTGGGGCTACCTTTACCTGCCTTGTGGGCTGTGTGGGTCATGGGTCAGAACACAGATTGCATTAAGTCAAGTTCTGGATCTTGGGCAGGATCCCTTACTTCTGTGTCTCAGTTTCCCCTTCTCTGAGTGGGGGTGATGGGCTCCCCCTTCTAAAGCAGTGTGAGAGTCAGCCGTGTGAACACGACCTGGTGTGATTTCAGTTTCCTGTTATTATTATAAAGTGTCTCTGCAGGGCCTCCACAACCACCCCTAGAAGGCGTGCATCACACCCACACCACACACACACACACACACACACACACACACACACACACACGGTCTGATGGCCCTCATGTTGTATCTCACGACCCACCAGTGACATTTTCTGGGCTTGAGCTGAAGGGGACCCCTCTCTTGCTGCTAAGGGGCTCCCACTCTCAGAAGATGTCCTTGGATATGGAATATTCCTCAGACCTCTGGGGATTTTGGAAGGGGGGCTTCCCTGCTGCTTATCAGAGAGCCAGACAAGGAGATAGAGACAGAGGGAGAAAAGAGACGAGATACAGAGACACAGCACGAGGGTCAGACAAACTGAAACCTCCAGTAAGACCGATAGGGAGACGGACTATAAGACTAAAGGGCTGAGAAACTCATTGTGGGAGAGAGGGGGGCAGAGAGTGACAGACCCCCAAATAGGCAGAATGGACCTGGAAAGAGAAGTGGGAAGGGTGGCTTCAGCATGGGGGGTGGGGAGTCCTTGGGGGGAGATGTTGGAGGCATCCAACCCTAATAATCCAGAGACTGGAAGGGGGCTAGGAGGGCATGCATGAGTCACTTCCTGGGCTGACTCACCAGCCAGCCACCCCCATTCACTCCTGGAGGGCTCACTGGGGAATTCTAGGGTCACACTTTGGAGTTGTGGGGGATCTGGACCAGTGAGGACCTCTCAAGTGACGAAGCTTCTATGTCCATACTCAAGTGCCCCCCCCAGGGATGGAAGGCCAAGACCCCCTTCCTGATCCCACCAAGTGGTCCCTCTGGGCAGACACACCTCCCTCGACTTCGGGAACCCTCTGTTCCTCTCTCTGGCCGCAGGGTTTGGCTAGTTCCCCCTCAGCCTGGGTCAGTTCCTCCTAAGGAGGACACCACAAAATGACCTTCCCTTTCAGGATGGTACCTGGGTTAATGTCCCCGGTTCCCAAAGCTCCAAGGGCTCAGGACCACCCTCCCCAGCAAAGGCTGTGTGTAGCCCATTCTACAGATGGCTAGGCTGAGGGTCACAGTCCAGAGAAGGCTCAGAAAGAAGCAAATGAACATAGAGGGCTGTGGTGGGTGGGAATTGTGGAGGGGAAGTTCCCTGTCCCCAAGCAGGGCTCTTTTGTGCCATGGCCCCATGGCCTAGCCCGGGCTGGACTCTCCCCTTCCAATGCTGTGGCCAGTGTTTGTCCATCTGCGGGCCTGGGAAGCTGCCCAAACAGGAGCCGGGAGAAGAGCTGCCATTTCTCCCTCCCAGACACATCTGGTTTGCATTCCCAGCCTAGTGGGGTGGGCAAGGCACCCTAGGCTTCCCCAGTTAACTTCCCGCCTAGAAGCCCTGCGGCCGGGGTGGGGGACAAGGTCCCTCGGCTAGCCCAGGCTTGCTGCCAGCATCTTACTCAGAAGGAATTATATATGTATATACTGTTGTCGCTGTGTACAGTGGAGAAGGAGCCCACTCAGAGCTGACCCTCCAGCCAGTTTTCAGAGCCAGTTTATAAATACCATTCGCTTAATTCTTAAGTGAGTCATAATAGCTTGCATACAGACTCAATTCTTACAGCAACTGGGTAAGGTGGAGGTAGGTCGAGTTGATTTGACAGATAAGGAAGGTAAAGGATCAGGGGGCTCTGTAATTTGACCCTAGTGAAACAATCAGGCAGCGTCTGAGTGCAGCTCAGAAGCCCCTGGAAGGCGGGCGTTGGCTGTGCCCTGCCCTGCCACCTGTCTCTCGCTGCTCTTCCCAGCCGTGCGTGCCCCCTGGAGCACCATCCCAGCCCGGAGCCTTGGGCATGTCGAGCTACCCGGCACCTCAACCTGGCACTGGGGCTGCTGAGCCCCAAATGTCATTTCTTCACTTTCTTTGTTGCCAGGTTGCTCAGGCAACCCGATAACCGTTAGAGCCACCCTGGGTGGGGCGGGAAGGGTAGCTGGGGAAGTCACAACAAGTTCAAAGCCACAGAGTCCCCTCAGTACCCTTGCTGAGTCCTGGCCAGTGCTGGAGAGCAGGACTAGGAAGACCCAGGCCGGCTGGGGTACCCACTGTGCAGTGGCCCCTGTTTCCAGGAGTCCTCCACCCTCTATTAAAAGCAGCTGCCTGCAAGGTCCCGGCACAAACTTTTTGCTCCCGTTCCAACCCCACTGCCCCAATTTCCCCTCTTAGCCTCCAAACCGGCCCCAGTAGAGAGCTCAAAGCTCTTCTAAGAAAGGGAGAGGAGTCTAGTAAGCACTCCAAGATTCCTTCCACGCAGAAGGGGGGCTCTCCATGCGCCCGCGCGTCCGCCCAAGTGGTTTCCTCCCCGCTGGAAGGTGCGGGCGCCTCCCCTTCTCCGCAGCCGAGGTGGGGTCCTTTGGGTCGCATGCCCCTCCCAGGGCGCCCCGGGGTCTCACCCAGAAAGACGAGGCGCGGGCCTCCCATGGTCGGCGGCGAGCGGCTGGAGCAGGTCCGGCAGCTTCAGGAAGGCTGAGCAGCTAAGAGGCCCTCGGCAGCCGGGTCCTTATGAAGGTGGGGGTGGTGGCCAAGGGCCCTCCCCGGAACTGGCGGGGCAGCTGGAGTAGACAGGAAAGCGCAGTGAAGACACGGAGGTGGGCGGGCTCACGGGCGAGAGCGCACACATACACACGTGGAGACGCGGGGGCGCGCGCGCGCTCACATACACACACACACACACACACACACACACATTCACCCCCACTCACCCCCACACCAAGGGCTACGGCGCAGGGGGATGAGGGAATATCAAATTTAATAATAGTAGACCAAATGCTGTATCTGGAAATGAGGGAAGCTTAAGACAAGCTGAAGGTCACCTTGTGGCATTGGGGCATTCCCTAGGAGTCAACATTGTTCTTAGTTTGTGTCAAATGAATCCCTCCCTCTTGAGATTAGCATAAAGAGGAACTTGGCCTTATCTGTAAAAGACTTCACCATTATCCTTTGGTTTTGTTTTGTACTTCCTTGTGATTTTACTTTGTTTGCCTTCCTTCTTGTTGTTATGTGCTGTCGAGTCGTTTGCAACTCATAGTGACCCTAAGTACAACAGCCCTAAACCCTGCTCTATCCTGTGCCAATCTCATTGCCTCTGACACACCCATATCGATTACCCCAGTCACTGAGTCAATCCAACTCATAGAGGGTCTTTCCCTCCTGCGCTGTCCCTCCACTCTACCCAGCATGATGTCCCTCCCTAAAGACCTGTCTCTCCTTACAACATGTCCAAAGTATGTCAGACAAAGCCCCAGAATCCTTGCCTCCAAGGAGCAGCCTGGTTTAACCCTCCCT